ATCTCCTTGCTACGTTTCTGGACGTTGATCGTGGTAGTTACCTTGCTGTCTATGGGAGGGTCAGAGAGCAAAAATATCTTGAATTGTGTTCTGAAGATGAACTGAGGTCTTACGGGGTTTGGAACGACATGAGGGTGAGTAATTAATGACAATTTTCATTTTTGGGTGAACTAACCCTTTAATAATTCTACAGAATTTTGTGGAAATTAATAAAATCTTAAGTCGTAGGTGTTTTGATTGTGAATGTTTTTAGTAATGTTTAGATCTAAAATGTTAGCGATTTCACTGAGCTCTTTGTCAGTGAAATCGCTATTTAAAAAAAAAAATTGGTTAGCAGTTGTGAAACCCGGATGACTGGGTAAAATGAGAGCTTAAAAATCATTTTAACTTAAGTTGATGTTATGCGAGTGCTTATTATTATAATAATAATAATAATAATAATATTATTATTATAGTTGGCGAAAAAAGCACTTGTTACTTGAAATAAAACGGAAATATAAAGTAATAATATATAGATATATTTAAAACTAATACAAATTATTAAAACAAAATTATTAGAAGTTAAAACAATTAAAATGACCGTGGAAAACATAAAAATTAAACAACTAAATAAATGTATTAACTATAATAGTATCTCAATAATACTAAATTAACACTGATTTGTAGCATGTGTAATGCACAGTAGCTGCAGTTTCCTGTGATCGCGGTCAGTGTGTTGCCTTTGTACAGTCTCTAATCTGTCTTTGAAGCAAAGATAAGGCACTACTTTGTGTACACAGACAGAGATAGTACCTTTCCTGGTCTTGAACAGCCACTGAGTGGAGTTTATCTTAGTGGTGACATTTTATAACACTCCTGTCATTTTCTTTAACAGTTTCTTGACCTCTTGACACCATGACCACTTTGACTGGATCAGACTTTGACTTCACCTTCCTGGAGGAGGGGTTCTGTGCCCGTGATATCGTGGAGCAGAAGATCAACGAGTCATCACTATCAGTAAGTGAACATTTTGTCATACCTACATGCTTTTTTTTTTTTTATTTGTGTCAATTTAGATTTTGCTATTATTATATCATTATAATTTTCCCTAAATGGGTCTGCATATGCCATCCACCATTCTGATCCCATCTCTTCTTCGTTTAGGATGACAAAGATGCCTTCTATGTGGCCGACCTGGGTGACGTCCTGAAGAAGCACCTCCGTTGGTTGCGCGTTTTACCCCGTATCACACCGTTCTATGCAGTGAAGTGCAATGACGGCAGGGCTGTCGTCACGACACTGGCATCTCTGGGAGCCGGGTTCGACTGTGCGAGCAAGGTATGTGGAAGATCTTTCATTCAAGTTCCTTAAATCACGAATGTGACTTCTCCATGTGTCTCAATGAGCACACGACATCAGCACCGAACTGCAAGAATGTTTAGCAGCGTGAATCCTGTATTAACCCGACCTCTAATCCTCGTCTCCTCTGCTAGACCGAGATCCAGATCGTGCAGTCTGTGGGTGTGGAGCCAAGCAGGATCATCTACGCCAATCCCTGCAAGCAGGTGTCTCAGATCAAATACGCCTGTGCTCATGGAGTGCAGATGATGACGTTTGACAGTGAAGTGGAGCTCATGAAGGTGGCACGATGCCATGACAATGCCAAGTGAGTAACTTCACTAGAAGACCAGGTCTCACTTCATATAGTGGTCTACTCGTATGGATGTTTTTGATGGTCGAGAACAGGGTGGCCGATGACTGATATAAAGCAGATTATATGTGATATCTGACCATTTAAATTGGCATTAGTCAATAAAACAAGTATAATAATTACTGCAATTATATTTGTTTTTGCGCATTTTGCTAGAATAACTATTTGAAAATGCATCAGTTTAAAAAAAACATTGCTTAAAAGTGTAAACAAAATATATAAACAAAATATGATTTTGTGCATTGATGATTTTCCTGTCAATGAAACACGTTTTCTTTGGCTGTAGACTGGTTCTCCGTATCGCCACTGACGACTCCAAGGCCGTGTGCAGGTTAAGTGTGAAGTTTGGCGCCACGTTAAAGTGCAGTCGGTTGTTGCTGGAGAGGGCGAAGGAGCTCGGGCTGGACGTGATTGGAGTCAGTTTCCATGTGGGCAGCGGTTGCACTGATCCCGAGACGTACAGCCAGGCAATCTCAGATGCACGCTGTGTTTTTGACATGGGGGTGAGTGGCCTTATACTATAAAAATTCAAAATACATGAATTTATTCAATAGAATATACTTAGCCTGAAAAATGCGTTGTCCACCAGGCGGAGCTGGGATATAACATGACCCTGCTTGATATTGGTGGAGGCTTTCCAGGCTCGGATAACACCAAACTGAAATTTGAAGAGGTATTTATTTTTAATCACCATCTTAACTTCAAGTGACCAAAGATGTTTAGGTTATACCAAACTTAACTTGTGGGGTTTTTTTTTTTGCTTGGCAGATCGCTGCTGTGATTAACCCTGCACTGGATAAATATTTCCCTGTTGACTGCGGTGTGAGGATCATTGCTGAACCTGGCCGCTATTATGTAGCGTCTGCTTACACGCTGGCTGTCAACATCATTGCCAAAAAGGTCATCATGAAGGAGCAATCGTCCTCAGATGGTAAAAGCAAACATTCAAAACCATGTTTGTTTCTAATGTGCTCTTAAAATGTTCATTCTCAGACTTTAAATCAAAGGACTATATTCAGTAACTAGACACTAATATTCAGTAATATTATCAATATTATGGCAATGAATAACACCGTTATTGTCCCGTTTACACCTGAGGTGCTGCTTTGAAGCCATCTGTAGTGTGTAAAGCGTTACATAAAAATGATTTGATTTAACTGACTTAATTTCTTTTCTTATTTCTTTTTCCAGAAGAAGAGGATTGGGCCAATGACAGAACCCTGATGTACTACGTGAACGATGGTGTTTATGGTTCCTTCAACTGCATTCTGTATGACCATGCGCATGTCCTGCCAACTCTGCACAAGGTACGGAAATGAGTCCATCAGATTCCTGTTTGTGTTCGATGGTGTTTCTTCCCTAAGACCAACCTGTAACCCATAATCTTTTGCAGAAACCCAAGCCTGACGAGCGCATGTACCCATGCAGTATTTGGGGCCCGACCTGTGATGGGCTGGACCGGATTGTGGAGCAGTGCAGCCTGCCTGACATGCAGGTGGGCGACTGGCTGCTGTTTGAAAACATGGGTGCCTACACTGTAGCCGCATCCTCCACCTTCAATGGCTTCCAGAAACCCGATATCCATTACATCATGTCCCGCAAAGCCTGGTAAGTAGGATTTGGGAGCCCATTTTCATTACTTTCAGCTTTAACAGCTCTTTTAATGCTTGAGTTCTATTGTCAAAGCAGACCGAACACCATACCAAAATGAGCCATTTCTGTTCAATTAATCTGTCAAAAAGGCTTACTGATGTCAAACTCAGAATGAATTGGTTTGACGTCCTTAATTCATTGTAACTATTTAATTGATTCAGGGTTTTTATAGTTAACTAAAATCATAACAAATGTAGTCGCTTAATGTATTCAACTAAAACTGAAACAAAAATTAAACCGTAATTGACAAATCCACACAAGCAGGATCAACAAAGCTAATAAAATGACAAAACGCAAAAATATTACTAATAAACGTCATAAGATTAAAAATTTAAGTGAAAACAAAATACAAAAATAAAAAAAAATTCTAAATAAAAACTATTACAATGAATAACATTGAATTTGTCAGTAAATTGTGCTTATTCTTAAAATATTGTATTATATCAAAAATGGTAAGAAATAATATTTTTAATTTAAAAACACCATCCAAACAAAACTCTTGTACTGAAAGAATGGTTAAAGGAAAATGGTTTTGACTGACTGAGCTCATTGACTCTTTCATTGCAGGCAGTGTATGCAGCATATCCGTGCTCGGGGGATTCCACTTCCTGCGGAGGAGCTCTGCACTGGAAGCATGCCATCCCACTGTGGACACGAGAGCACATTGGATGTGCCAGCCAAGCCATGCCCTACCCAAGTGCTGTGATGCTCTTCAACGCTGACTCCCAGAGCGAGAGCCAGTCGTCATTCAGACAGCGGTTTATCATAGTTCTCCACCGATTTACACCCAAACCCTGTCTTGAGGTCCACCACATCCAAATATGTGCTGTTGAATAACAATAGCTAAATTTCTAATCTAAATGCAGCTGTTTTTCCTCCGTTTGTATGAGTTCCAAATGCTCAAACCTGAAAGACGCACAAACACGCTCACAGTCCTGTGGCTGTATATTTCTTTTTTTTTTTTTTTCCATACTTATACTTGTAAGGCCA